CGATCGGAAGCCACCATCTTTGTTCTGCCCGCTCAGTATATAACTCATGAATATTGATTAGGCCAGGCACTTACCATATTTGGGGTACGCCCTTACGGCGAAACCTTCGTACTAGAAGAATGCATTTCTATTGTTTTGATTACGCGCGCGAGTTTTGTGTGCAAGGTCGCGTTGACCAATGAAATCATTTTTGTGATGCAGTTGTGGGCGGTATAAAAGTTCAAACGCCGCACGAACGAATCAGTTGCCGATAGAGCTTGATGTGATTCGTTCAGGTGAGTACATAAATTATCAGCTCATTATCTTGCGAACTACAAGTGACTCTTTGCATTTAGTGTCTATTATATTGACAGATAGTGAAGAGACATATATAGATTGCAGTGTTATGCTTTTGTCGTTGAACTTTATGGAATGAGGCATTTTAGTGTTCTAGTGTTTATTTCAACAAACATTAGCGATAAGGGAGTTGCAGGTATTTTATTGCACCTGTACAACGTTGCAAATGAGGAATGCTTTGAATTACTTATACGAACGTTATATTTGATTTGTGTCTATATATGTCTGCGGATTTAACTGTGCATAAATTATAAACAAGTGTATCAGTTGCCAATAGAGCTTGATGTGATTCGTTCAGGTTTTAGGGACGATCTGGTCGGCGGCAACTCACCGACTCAATTTACTCCGGGACTTTATTGGAAGCGGGTTTGGGGCGATTCATAAGACGGGACAGGAAGAGGGTTCTACGTACCAGTGTTAGCGTCACTGCGATGTCAGCGTAGACTAAAAGTATTTTCCAGCGGGGAGCTGGCGGATCGGAGTTATTGAAGTATTTTCCAGCAGGGAGCTGGCGGAGTTATTGGAGTATTTTCCAGCGGGGAGCTGGCGGAGTTATTGGAGTATTTTTCCAGCTTGGTGCTAGCGGAGTCATTCCAGCTAGGAGTTGGCGGGTAATTAATTGGGGATCGCCGGAGTAAACTGAGTCTGCGGTAGCCGGAGTAAACTGAGTCATAGCCGGAGTAAACTGAGTCAACGGTAGCCGGAGTAAAATGAGTCAGCGGTAGCCGGAGTAAACTGAGTCAGCGAGCTGACGTATTAACGATGATTGACTGCAAATAATATTGTTGGAGTTTTTAAGAATACATTATTGTTGAATTATAGAAGAAGTGTCTTCGTCCCTTTCTTAGTCATATCCAAATGAAGTAAGACTGCCTGGTTGTACATTTCAACCAAACGGATCCGGGAAATATAAATTTATTGTGACTTGGCATCATTACATCTAGCAAGGTGACGGCAGAAAGTCTTTAATAGCGCCCTCTACCCCACTTCGCCCGGCCGCCGGGTACCATTGGCGTCGTAGACAGGATTTGGCAGTTTATCTTGTTTTTACTAGTAGAGTTGCAGTTACTATGGACGACGACGGCAGAAGCAAGCAGGGAAAGATAAAGACAAGAATTGAGCCTGGAAGCCAGGGCGGTGAAGGCGGAGAACCATCACCTTCCTGTGTGAACAGTCCGGGTGAAGAGGATCAAGAGAGGGGTATGGGTGTAGCTCCATCAGAGAGAAGATCTACACCTTATCCGGGCAGCGAAGAATTGCGTCGTGGTCAAGGGCGAGATGACGAGACCACTTATCGGCAAAATACACGGAGAATATTGCAGGACGGAGACCAAGCACAGACTGATTGGCAGGACGAGTCTTGGCAATTTTAACAATACTTGCGCCGTGAGTACGATCCAGAGATTCAATTTCGACGAGATAATTATCGGGATATGGATGAACCGGGACGAAGAGTGCCACCGCGGGACTACTCTAGCAGAGGCAGAGCTGATACCTGGACTGGTCCTGAAGGATGTAGTCGTCATCAGCAGAATTCTGACGATTGGCGGGGTCTACAATTCCACATGAATCGTTGGGGACGAGGCAATGGTGATCTGAGGGGAGAGTCACACAACGATGGGCCAGCTGGCAGACCGCGTTGTGGACATTCGTCAGGGGTAGGCCGTAGAGAAATTATTCCGGATAAATTCGACGGGAAAATTCCATGGAAAGATTACCAACAACATTTTGAGGCGTGCAGAACTGTCAATCGATGGTCAAGAGAAGAGGCTGCCTATCAACTCGCTACCAGACTACAAGGGCCGGCACTGAAGGTGCTTGGAAATTTTCCACAGAGGGAACATCCGAACTATGATGAACTCGTCGCACAACTTGAGAGGAGATTCGGCCTAGGTGAGCAAGCCGAAAATTTTCTGTTACAACTTAGAACGCGAAGAAGAGGAGTAAGAGAATCCTTACAGGAACTAGGCCAAGCGATTAGGGATTTATCGGCAATGTCTTACCCGGAACTACCTTGCAACGTCCGTGAAAGGTTGGCGAAGGGGCATTTCGCAGATTCCATAGAGGATTCCGAGATTAGGGCCGGTATATTCCGGGCACGGCCACAGACTCTGGAACAAGCTGTGAGGGCTGCATTGGATACTGAATCTTTTCTAAAGGTGGAGAGAACCAGAGACAGGGGAAGATCGAATAAATTCGCGTGTGCCGTTTCTGGTGGCGAAGAGCAGAGCAACAGTATGCCGAAAGAACTTGCTGATGTGAACGCGAAGTTGATGGATGTCATGAAGATGGTGGACCAGTTGCGGTGGGAAATTAGAAATGGTTAACCCCAGGAACGCATCAATACACATCATGAGCAACAAGATCGGGAGAAAATGGGTAGAATGGTGACTTGTTTTTTCATGTGGTCAGAAGGGACACTACGCCCGGGACTGTACTAGAAGTGGCATGAAAGTACAAAACCAAGGAAACGATTTGGGCGAACTCAACGGACCAAGGGAACGCCGACACCGAGGAACGGTCCAGGATGGAAAGCAGCGTAAGAGATGACTTATCGGAAAAGCCAGAATTAAAATCTACAACTATCTTTGAGAGGAGTAACAGGGGGATATTTCTGACTGGAGTGATCCGTGGAGTAAAGATAAAATTTCTACTGGACACTGGTTCTACACAGACTGTGCCGTCGACAACTGTATATGAGCAATTTCCAAAGGGCAAGAAACCGAAGTTGGACATGATGGTACTCCGATCGAGTCGTGGGGACATGCAATGATGGATTTGCAGATAGGAAGAAAAAGCCAGTCACTAGATGTTACTGTGGCCAGAATAAAAAGTGAAGGAATCTTAGGCATGGATTTACATTTGACAACGGGCGGAAGTTTGGACTTCAACAACCTTAAGCTGTTCTTAGATGGAGAACAAATACCATGTGGAGATGAAGATGATGTACTGTTCTGCTCAAGGGTGGTAGTGTCCCAGACTACGGTGGTACCAGCGTTCCATGAGGCATTGATTCCTGTGAAGATTTCTAAACCACAAAATGTAAGAGGACTGGGCATCATCGAACCCACAGGCGGAGAAACAGTTTACAGGGAAAGGGATTATGCTTGCAAGAACACTAATGAACGTAAGCCAAGATATATTGCCAGCTCGTGTAGTCAACATGAGCCAAGACGAAATTGTAATTAAGGAGGGAACCATGTCAGGGATGATTTCATCTATACAAACAGAACCAGAGATGATTTCCAGTGCCAGTGTGAGGGAATTGAAGACTGGTGAAAACAACAGTCCACAAGAGATTCCTGAACATCTCAAAGATTTGTATTCCAGAAGTACAGAAGATTTACCTGACGAACACCGACCTCAAGTACGGGAGTTGTTGATCGACTTTCAAGAAGTATTTTCTCGAGGAGATCACGACATTGGGTGTACTGACTACGTAAAGCACAGTATCAATACCGGAGAGGAGATGGACAAACAAGTTAACGACATGCTGGAAAGGGGCATCATAGAACCATCCTATAGTCCATGGGCATCACCAGTTGTCTTAGTTACCAAGAAGGACGGAACAAAACGTTTCTGCGTCGATTACAGAAGACTTAATGCCGTCACGGTTAAAGATGCTTATCCGATTCCGAGAATTGAGGAGTCCATCGATGCACTTACGGGGTCAAAGTGGTTTTGGACACTGGATCTTGCATCTGGATATTGGCAAGTAGGGTTAGATGAAGAGGCGAAACAGAAGTCTGCATTCACTGTAAGGGGAGGTCTATATACGTGGAATGTGATGCCATTTGGTTTGTCGAACGCCCCGTCAACTTTTGAGAGACTGATGGAGCGGGTGATGGCTGGTTTACAGTGGGATATTCTACTCATCTATCTCGACGACATCATCACATATGGGAAGACAGAGAGTGAAGCGACTCAGCGCCTTAAGATAGTTTTGCAACGATTGAGGGAGGCTGGTCTTAAACTAAAGCCAAAGAAGTGTCACCTGTATCAGCGGAAGGTGTTGTACCTGGGTTATATTGTTTCTGAAAGGGGAATGGAGACAGATCTGGAGAAGGTCAGAGCTGTTCGAGAATGGCCACACCCTGAAGATGTTACTCAAGTGCGTAGTTTCCTGGGCCTAGCGTCATTATTACCGACGTTTCATCAGAGGGTTTGCAGAGATTGCTCGTCCTCTCCACAAACTGACAGAGAAACATCACAAGTACAAGTGGACAGAGACTTGTGAAGAAGCTTTCGTAGAGTTGAAGAGACGACTGGTGGAATCGCCGATACTCGCGTATCCTGATCCAAAACAAGACTTCATATTGGACACAGACGCAAGTAACTTTGCCACCGGGGCAGTTCTGTCACAGAAACAAGGAGAACACGAAAAAGTGGTGGTCTATGCCAGTAAAACCCTCAGTCCACAAGAGCGTAACTACTGTATTACAAGGAGAGAACTAGTAGCAGTTGTCATTTACTTGAAACATTTCCGTCATTACATTTATGGCAGAAAGGTGTTGGTAAGAACAGATCACGGTTCCTTAAGATAGCTCACCAATTTCAAGAACCCAGAGGGACAGCTAGCTCGCTGGATGGAGGTCCAAGGTTGTTTACTGCTTACACTTGCCTACAGAACTTCAGTTCAAGATTCGACCGGCGAAACACCAAGCATGATGATGCTTGGCCGAGATTTGAGCCTGCCCATTGATGTCAATATGGAACAACCTTGGACCGAGAACGATTTGGAAAATGGAGATTTCGCGGAGCAGTTGCGTATGAGGATGCAGGTGGCCCATGAAGCGGCAAGAGAAAATCTGAAGGGAGCAGCTGTCCGGCAAAAGAAGAACTACGACCGCAGAACTCGGGATTGCAGAATACAAGAGGGACCGTATGTGTGGTTACACAATCCAAGCCGGAAACGAGGACAGACAACCAAACTTGCACACCCCTGGGAGGGCTCCTTCCTAGTAATTAACCGATTATCAGATGTTATTTTCAGGATTCAGGAGAAGCCAAGAGGAAGACAGCTAGTGGTGCATGCCGACCGACTAAAACCTTATGAAGGAGGGGAAAGCTTCGAGCAGACTAAGGGTGCAACAAAAGGCCACCAGAAGGGGCCTACACGTCCTGCTACAGGCTCGGGTTCTATATAGCGGCAAACGAGAGGAGGCACGAAGAAACCTATCAAGGCAACATCAGTTACCACTGCGGTATAGGTAGACGGAGTGAACGGGTGGCCGAGGATGGAGGAAGACAGTATTGATAGAACAAATTCCTAGAACGTCAAAACCAAACCTAATATGAATGTAAATTCTTCTTACATTATAGAGACAACAGCAAGAACAGCAGAATGAAACCAACACCAACACTGAGGTGCAGAATTTGCGGCGAGGTGTTTTGGAGGAGGTGGAATCTGGACAGGCACTTACAAACTCACCAGAGGGAGAGGTACAGGTGCCCACAGTGTGATGCCACATATCTACGCTTTGAAGATTTGAGGCAATATACCAGACAAAAACACCTTCGGATCGACGGAGAACCAGATAAGAAGGAAGGAGAAGAAAGAAAGGCGGGGAGGGGAAGAAATGAGTCAGAAACGAGGAGAGATAAGGAGGAGGCGACAGATGCGAAGAAGACGGAGAAGAGAAGAAATGAGTCAGAAACGAGGAGAGATAAGGAGGAGGGAGCAAATGCGAAGAAGATGAAGAGGAGAAAAGAGGAGTCAGAGACAAGGAGAGATAAAGCGGAGGGGGCAGATGCGAAGAAGACGGAGAAGATAAGAAATGAGTCAGAAACGAAAAGAGATAAGGAGGAGGGGACAGATGCGAAGAAGATGAAGAAGAGGAGAAGAGTCAGAAGCGGGGATAGATGAGAAAGAGGGGACAGGAGGAAGAAAGGTTGAAGGGAGGAGAGAAGGAGAGACAAGGCAAGTCAAAGAGCAGGCAGACGTGAAGAAGGTGCAGAGAGTTGAGAATGCGGAGTTGACGAAGGAGGAGTCAGAGGCAGAGAGAGACAGGGAGGAAGGAGGAATGGAAGTCCAGGAGAGGAAGGAAACGGAAGAAGTATTCGAAATGGTAAACAACGTGGAAGAGGAACAGGCACATGAAGCTTGCATATCCTTGATGGATGAGGACCAACATGATCTGTTGGATTACACATCGGAACCAAGAGGCCTCGGAGTGGCAGCGAAAAAGATGAATCCACCCCCAGGCAGTCCGGCATTGTCATCGATATCAGTAACGTCCGTATCCTCAGCATCGTCCGTATCCTCGGCAGCGTCATCCACATCCTCAGCGTCCTCTTCAATGTCCTCAGCATCGGTCTCCCCAACAAAGAACGTCCCCACATCGTCGACCACACAAGCAGTTCTGCACAGCCAACCAACATGCTCCCTGGTAGATATACGGGACCTGCTGGGTGGACGTCTCAGGACAATAGTCGAGAAACAGACAGCGTATGTGTACAACGAGGGGAGGAAAGTTCGGAAGGAAATTGTGGAACGGCAATACATTCTGACAGAGTAAAATAAGTAAATTAACGCAGTTTGATGAATGACCTGTTTCTTCAAGCTCTCAGTATTTTATGATGTATAGGCATAAGTTTTATTTATTTTAGTGTTGCCGACATTAAGTTAAGTATTTGATGATGTGTAATTCCTTTTTGCGTTGCGGTCAAATCTCAGTAGTATATGATGTGAAAATATTTATTTTTAAATGTTGCAGACAAATTGTCAGTAGTTTATGATGTGTATATATTTTTTTTGAATTGTTGCAGAAAAATTGGAGCGTTGCGGATATCCCACTAGTTTACTGCGTAACAAAATTCTTTATCGTTGCAGACAAGGTTATTTACAGAATAAAAATATGTTCAAAGTTATACGATATGTTATTGTTCTAAGCACAGTTTTAAAATAACGCTGGGTACAGCGTTGATCTTGAGAAGGGGGTAGTGTGACGTGAGGTGCCTGCAAGTTGCGAATTCATGTGATTATTATCATTAAATAGAGATAACAATCGATCACACACTTTAGATAAAACTACCAGAATTCATTCCAGCCAGCCGTACTCACGATGTCCAATCGGAAGCCGCCATCTTTGTTCTGCCCGCTCAGTATATAACTCATGAATATTGATTAGGCCAGGCACTTACCATATTTGGGGTACACCCTTACGGCGAAACCTTCGTACTAGAATGCATTTCTATTGTTTTGATTACGCGCGCGAGTTTTGTGTGCAAGGTCGCGTTGACCAATGAAATCATTTTTGTGATGCAGTTGTGGGCGGTACAAAAGTTCAAACGCCGCACGAACGAATCAGTTGCCGATAGAGCTTGATGTGATTCGTTCAGGTGAGTACATAAATTATCAGCTCATTATCTTGCGAACTACAAGTGACTCTTTGCATTTAGTGTGTATTATATTGACAGATAGTGAAGAAATATATAGATTGCAGTGTTATGCTTTTGTCGTTGAACTTTATAGAATGAGGCATTTTAGTGTTCTAGTGTTTATTTCGACAAACATTAGCGATAATGGAGTTGCAGGTATTTTATTGCAAATGAGGAATGCTTTGAATTACTTATAAGGAAGTTATATTTGATTTGTGTCTATATATGTTTGCGGATTTAACTGTGCATAAATTATAAACAAGTGTATCAGTTGCCGATAGAGCTTGATGTGATTCGTTCAGGTTTTAGGGACGATCTGGTCGGCGGCAACTCACCGACTCAATAGACCTAAGACGTAATGACGTCACACAATGTTTACCGCTGTGCATTGTGGGAGAAACCTGGGGATAAAATTAAAGATGGCGGACACGGTCGTGAAACACACTGTGGATTCGGTAAAGGGTGCAAAGTTACCCTGCACCGTTGTAAACGACAACACCGTAGAAGACTTAAAACGGTGGCTAAAATCGTCACCGTTTTCACGAACAGCCACATACTATATATATTATGTTGATTTTGAAGTAAAGTGTTGTCGAGATAATCACAAAAGAAGTTTCTCATATTTTAAAACTGCAAGAAATACTACTTTGCAACAACTTTGTGCAGCAAGAAAACCATCACACGATTCTACGTGAGCTGAAGTTTTACATAAACCCGGTAATAAGACTTAATAAAGCAGTTAATTAGTGGAAATTAATTAGTAAAGATAAATGGCTCTTCGTGAAAACGCAAATTCACGTTTCCGACATATTGGCCCTTTCTGTTCAACGTGTATTTCCATAGGCGCGTGTGAGTACGCGCGCGCGCCTGAAAATGTAACAAAGATATGTGGCTTTTCGTGAAAACGCAAATCTCATTTGACCTACTTTTACGTATTTCCCTGCAATGGGTTTTGTACGCATTCAAAGGGCCAAAATGTATGTGGCTCTTCGTGAAAACTCAAAATGCAGTTATCAAGATTTCTGCCCCTTGCAACATTAATGTAACTTAGAAATTAATGATGTTTTGCTTACAGAAACATGTCAAAATGGTTAAGTACATTGTTTTAATGCGAAATATTGAAAAAAATCAAAATCGAAAAAAATTGTAATTTTGGAGATATGTGGCTCTTCGTGAAAACGGTGATGAAATGTCGGGGGTTCACGTCGATGGCCTCGGAAGCTAAAAGAAGTCTCTGCGAAAGGTAGGCCTGGTAGATTTTTATGTTGAAAAATTGTCTTCGGAATCGGATACATGATGTACGTACTGACTATACCGTATGTGTACGCGTAGAGCGTGGACGCGTGTGATAGTACTAATGTTTACGGTTACTTCCTTAAGTAAAAGCTCAAGGCACGATCACCGGGCGATAATTTATTGTAACTTACAAGCTGTGGATGGAAGGAAAGGAATGATGGATGCCTCTTTCTTCATATTTTACAACTTTTTGCTGCAAATGACTACACTAGCTAGGCTCATCAAATGGACAGATAATCTCTCAGAACTACCAGACCTCACATACGAATCCCTCCAGGAATATCTTCTCAAACGCAGCGTTAAAGTTGTTGAGGTTCCCGATGACAAAGACCCTGAAGAGCCACATATGAGGAAAATTCCACTCCCAACAGCAGAGAAGCCTCTACGGAAAGGATTCAACTACTTTGCTTCTGGGCATGTTTCCAACATTTAGCTCAATCCACTTGGGGATTTTACTCATGTCTGGGCTGATGTACTTGCATCCATGAAGGAAAATCAGTATCGTGTTAAAATAATACTGAATAAGTACGGGGTGATTGTCAATGGCGTGTATAACTGCCCAGCAGGAACAGGAGGCAAGTGTAACCATGTTGCAGCTCTACTGTTTGGTCTTCTTGATTACATAGTAACTGTTCGTGAATGTGCAACTTCAGCATGTACCAGTTTGTCTCAGAAGTGGCATCAGCCTTCACGCATCAGCAAGAAGTTCACAAAGCCAGCAAAAGCAGGTAATCCCAAGCTTTCAACGTCCCAATGCCATTTTAAAGAAGGCTCTACATCTACATGTACACCTACCAAACCTACATGTATAACCATTACATGTCCACACAGATAACGTGAATTATTTTTATGTTTTTTTTATGATCAGGCACAAGAGAAGTTGTGAAGCATGTTTTCGGAAGAACGACAAAAAGAAAACGGGCACTAGAGGACTACAGTTGCTACCAAGCTGCGCCTGCATGTAAGAGTCAATGTTTTGCAACAACAGCATTTAAAGAAGCCATCAGAAAGCTGCAAGAAACCAATCATGACACATGTTGGACTCAGATTCTTGACAGCTCCACTGACACTGCTACAGAAGATGAGACAAATTCAAAAGAAAACCCAAGTTTGGCCCAAGAGCTCACTCCTGAAGAAGTAATCTGTCGGCGATTCCATGTACGTGGCAACAGAGTTTACTTTTTGTTCTGTTACTTATTTTTATCGAAAGCCTTTTGTGATACTCAAATCAATAAACAAAATATCAAAGAAAGCTGGACTGAAGTGGAACTTGCAACCTCTGGTGTGCAGGGCTATCTGTCTTTCAATCAAACTGTCCAATCCCTAGTTCATCGGGAGTGACACAGTTATTTAAACATACATGTACAAGAGCAACTGACTGAGCTAAATAAATCCCTTGCAAACTGCATTTTATAGTTTGTAGGAAAACAAGCAGGCTTTTTTTTTTTTTTTTCAGAGTGACACTGACCATATCAGTGATATCGAGATTGCAACAAGAGGACAAGCTAGCAACATCCAGTGGTTTCGAATGAAGAAGGGTCGAATTACAGCAAGTATAGCTAAGCGTTGTTCTGGCAAAGGTGATCCAGCAGCCATTGTCAAGAAAATAATTACTGTTGGTAGCCCGACAAGTAAGCCCAAATCGCATCACATGGAGTATGGCATTATTAACGAAGGTGAAGCAGTGTCCAAGTACATGAAACAGAAACAAGATAGTGGCCTAAATATGACTGTGATGGAGTGTGGTCTTTTCGTTCACCCACTGCATGGCGAACTTGCTGCAACCCCTGATCGGGTTGTCACTGAGAACTGTGTCCAAGGACTTGTCGAAGTGAAATGTCTGTCAGCGTCCAGAGAAATGACACCAAAGGAGGCAATTCTAGCCAAACAGACGGACAGCAACTTCTGTCTGCAACTAAAAGAAGCGAAACCCACACTGAAAGAGCATCATGCATACTTTTACCAAGTACAGATGCAAATGGCGGTTGTTGGTGTGGCTTGGTGTGACTTTGTTATTTTCACAAATGCTAACTGTGATGTGCTCATTGTACGTGTTGCTTTCAATGAGGCATTCTGGACAAATGTTCAGGACAAGCTCCTGCAGTTTCATAAATCTCATGTCTTGCCAGCACTTGTAGCCCAGGGTTTTTGGAAAAAATAGTTTGAGGTTACAATTTTTATCCTATCATTTAATACTATTTATTGATAAAACTGAAACCTTTTTTTGGTCTTGCCATAAATGTAATTACTATAGTTCTCCAGAAATAAAAGTGAATATAATTGAAATTTTGAAACTATGATTTCATGAAAGAAATTCAGGATATTTTTTTTTTACCTAATTGCAGAGTTTATTAATATTTGTAAAGAAAACAGGCCAGTAAATGAAGTGTGCAATCATAAAATCATACATGTATACAATATTTATGAACCCGACAGTCAAAATATACTTATTTTTCTGAGCATTTGAAAACAAACTACATGTGTATGCATCTGTAGAAGGTTTGAGGTATTTATTCAATTGTTCATTATTCAGCAGGACTCATTTTGTTGCTATGCAAATGCATTTAGTAAAATATCGTCTAGACAGCCTTTTAGTTCTCTTCCCAGTCTTGGAGCTTTTAAGCTACAGGGCACTTTGCAATTTTTTGAGGGGGGTTTGGGGGTTGGGAGAGGGGGGGGGGGAGTTTCTCAGGTAATAATCCAACACATTTTAGATTAGGGTAAGCACTGGACGAACTTTAGCTGAATAAACACTGAGAGTACAACAAACAGTGTAAATACATGTATACTTGGTCTTTATTGAACCAATGCTTTAATACGTTCATCAGAAAAGCCTCGTAACAGCATATGAAATGAGCAGTGCAGTAAAAGTCAGTTGCAAATTTCAATTATTTAAAATGAGCATTCAAGCTGAGCAATTTGATAGGGAGTTTTTGGTGGGTAAGGAGCGAGAGTGGGGTGATTGGGGCGGGATGTTGGTGAGGGATACAGGAATAGTATGCAGGCATGTAAAAAGGGCAGGTTGAGGCAGGAGTGATCAGGTGTCACCGTGTGGAGGCAGGGGTTATGGGGGGGGGGGGGGGGTTAGAGGTGGGTCATGGGGTATGGGTGGAGGCTGATGGGGGGGGGGGGTGGAGGCTGATAGGGGAGGGGGAGGTGATATAAGGGTATTAATGTCAAAACTGTGATTGGAACCTAACACCTCTCGGGTTGAAATAGAGTACACACGTTTTCCCAAATGTTTACAAAATACAATGTGCACAACCGGTAATTACTGTATGCAGTCGAAAAGTTACATTTGACATGGATGAGAGTGACCATAAAGTAGGCTTCAAAATGGCCAAAAAAACTATTGCTTGTCTGTACTCAGTGGGGGCCAAAATAGTGTAAGATAGCAGCACACTTTGAAAATGTGGTTGATTTGCTTCAAGTAGGTTAGTGGTATCTTTTTGCTCAGAAAATGCCACTGTTTTATCCGTCCTATGCACCGTTCCACATGAATCCTCACCCTAGCTACCGCGACGGACTCGACTAGTTGATGTGGCTGCATTTGGGCAGCTCCCATCAAGAAGTGAGGTGTTACATGTCGCAGTTTTCGCTTCATGATTGCTTCTTTGCATGTAAAACCACGATCAGCCATAATGGCAACATTAGGCTCACATAAATCCAGAAGGCCACAGTTCATTGTCAGCTCATTGTCACTTATTGACCCCTCATATAGGTCAGAGACAAAAGTAGTAACCCCAGAGGGACTGATCCCAATCAAGCCCTTGAGTGTGTTTCCGTGCTTGTACTGTGAGTATGTGGCAGCTTGTACCTCCAAGTCTGATGGCCTCTCCACTGAGATCCCTGTGCAGTCAATTATAACCTGCAAATCAGGATACAAGCCCTTGAAGAATGCAGGCATGTACTTTCGAACTTTTCCCTTGGACATCCAGATGTTGGTCCCTTCAACCAGTGCATTGAACAAAAAATTAATCCATGTGATGAAGATCCTTGTCACATACGAATCTGAGATCTTGAAGCGCTCAGCAATGTCCTTGTTTCCACTACCTTGCTTTAATTTAACCAGTGTCATGAACATCTGGTCAATTGGATCAAAACTGCATTTTGGTCCCCGTTTATTAGCCTGTTCTTCTTGGGAGTTGCGTGCCATCCAGTACTTGAGACTGCTTGCATGATTTTGGCACACATGTTCGTAAAACACAATTAATGTTTCATAACTATAGAACCCTGTCCAGAATTTAATGTCTTCATCTGACCCCTCAAACCGCTTCATTGAGAACCTCTCCACTCTGGTCAACTCTCTTCTGGTGTCGAGCTCTTCTTTCAAACCCTTCAGAAGATGGATGACAGTTTGTGTTACCATTATCAACATTTCTCCTTCCTGCTTCAGGCTTCCATTCAGCATGTGTAGTATGCTATCAAGAACTGAATGCAGCTCATCTTGGATGGGCAGCTTTGTTTCCGGGTAGTAAGTCTTAGAATCCTGTGAGAGTGAAAATAAAATAAATAAAAATCCTTGAATTATTTATTAATCTTTCTAAATGTAATTCCATCCATGTGCTTTTTCACATTCAGTAACTGGACAATAATGTTGATGGTGGGGGTCTTACAGTGAATACAAACGATACAATTTAGGCTAAATACATACATTTACAAGGTACGCAAAGTGATAAACCAATCATAACACAAAATATCAATTATTTGGACTACACGTGTGTTTTCAATTTTTATAATTTTACTCTGCACACACAAATTCAGATTTTAGTTTTACCTGAGAGATGTTAAATGGAGATTCTGCACTTGTTGTTGGCATGTTGTTGTCATTGTTGACATCACTACTGCAGCTTTGGCCCAGCTTTGTGTCGTCACTGCTTTCCATGTTGCTAGAATCTTCCTAAAACCAGATTTGATTTGACAGTTGCAAATTAAACACCAATATAACATTATGTTATTAATAGCGAAGGAGAGGAAGACCAAAGAAAAGATGGAGAGATGATATAACTACATATATGGGAACAGCGACTTGGACTAGGACAGCCAGAAACAGAAGTGATTGGAAACGTCATGATGAGGGCTTCATTCGACAGCAGATGGAAGTAGCCTGATAGATAGATAGATAGATGAATAGTACCATTACCCCATTCCCTGCGTACAAAGTGGAACCAAAGTGAATTGATATGTGCTGCATTTTTATTTCCTCACTTTTAACTCCTCCCCCCCCCCCGCAAAAAAAAACAATAAATGAATGCAAACAACAATTAACATTTTCTGTGCTGTGCCAACAGATGTAACTAACAAGCACAAATAACCACTTGACATTACTTCATTTGGGTTTCACTGGGTATTTCAGGCTAAGTACAAGGTACAGAAACCAAGGGTTAAAGAAATATCATAAATTTTGCTCAGTTGTTTTCAATATTAACACTTTACACTGAATACAGGAAACGAAATAATTTGCGTTAAAATTACCTTTGCAATGCTACACATAGCCTCTGGACTTTCAAAGCAGCATTTCTTTGCCACGAAGGCGAGGGTGTTGAAAACATGAATAAAGTCGTTACTGGTTAAATAAATAACACAATAAGACATGCACAGGTTTGGAAGTTTATTTGGCAATCACGATATTTTTGAGTGAATTTTCAAATTGACAATTTCACTGCTGGTACGAAAATACTTTTGCACGTCAGTCAAAGGCAAATTAATATCAGCGAACCTACGCGGGTGAAACCATGGAGGAAGGCATTTTCAGACAGTCAAAAATCATTTTGAGTGGACGAATCGTGAAGCGCTAATGTATAAGTGTTTATCACAGATTTAGAAAACCAAAATATAAAGGTCGTATGGGCAAAGAGTTATAACGAATTGCCATTAGCAACTAGCAACAATCCATACTGCACGGAAGCTCCGTGCAACCGCGTGTGTTGTCCGTGTGCGCTCATGGTCGATCTGGCCAAACCACGGTGGCCGATCTACGGCACCGTCATTCCACTTAACTTGAACGACAAAATGTATGCGTTTAACAGGGTTATTATTCAGAGGATGGTTTGCTCATAACCATAAATTAATGTTTGGTTTTTGGGTGGACTGTAATTCATGAATAAGTGTCTATCTTTTCGCTTTTAATCAAGCAAAGATTGCTTTACTTTTTCGTAGTGCGGGTTGTACTAGTTTCGTTACAGTGGGCGATACCAGTAGTTGAATGGGGGTGTTTGGGAATTATTTGTTTTTGCAGACATTGTTTGCTGGATTATTTTTGTCAGATTGCCACTAATGGATGTTGAAACAAGGCGTTTAATGATTAGCTGATTTGCTTGCTTATTATTCCCAAAATAAACTTGCATGGTAAAAACGAAAATGTGCAGTGGAACAATTCTCAATCTAACTAATACCCCCGTATAGAAAAACACGTTTCGGTAAGCCTGGCATCTACATTGTGTATCCCACTAGCGAACCGGAAAACAAGTTCTGAGAATGAATTAAGGATTATGCGATTGGTGTTTTCATTTATTTTAAAAATATTTTCCATGAAATGAAATGAGATAATGAGAAATACTATAAAAAATTTTAAACCTGTCTTATCATTTTGTTGTGCAAGAGTTTTCGAGTTAATTGGAATCGGTTTTCACTAATATTACCAAAATGGCACCCGGGCATTACTTTTTTATTGAGAATAATGTAATAAATCACTGACCTGCTTAGTAACAGTAGTAAAAATCGTTGTTCGGGACCGTCCGTACACAGTACAGATATCTTCGAGGTCGAACTTGACTTTAAAATTCATCTTGTCGGTGTCTAGTCCTCTTTTGTTGATTGTGAAACATGCATGTTTTTGTTGACAAGACACCTTCTTTCTGTTTATGTTAGCCTATTTCTCGACACGTGATACCCACCATTTTCTCAAGGGAATTGGCGAAATCCTTAGGACCTTTTGTATGGTTTATGTACCAAATATGTGTACAATCCCACAGTCCCATATCTCAACAGACTTGTTAATAGCGCACTCAGTTCACTCCCACCAGCCCAATGAAATTACCGGTTCTTTTTTGCGTAGTACATGTATTGTCTTTCTGTGCAATTTTTGATATGTATACTATATTTTTTGTACTTACAATTTTCCATTGTTTTTACCGTTTACTCTTTGTGATTTTAACCTCATCTAATTTTTATTGAAATTTGTATGTAAACTGACTTGTAATTCAGCCTGTGGGCTGCTATAAGCAGTGTTTTAATAAACCACAAATAATAATAATAATAACTTCAGGTCCAGTTAAGAATTCACAGGTTTAACAAAGATAATCTTTTCCAAGCCTAACACAACAGGGCTGTGTTCCTTCCTCAATGGTTGAATCAGGGCCAGTGCTTTATCTTTATGGCAGTCATGAATATTTAATGTGTCCCACTGGAGATTGTTTACTTAGTGCCAGTTCTGTTATGTAACACATTGGCACAGTGTCCTTTCTATATAGGTATTGTGTGTGTGTGTGTACAGCTTGCAGACTTGTTGTTCATGTACAGTACAATGTACATGTCTTATTGGAACTGGCTAATACCATTACCATATACCCAGAGGTTTTTTTTTGTATTTTTCAAGTACACTATTGAATTACTTCTTAATGTAATTATTATCTGTGTATTTCTGATTAGTCGAGTCAAAGGTATTTAAAAAAAAACACCATGAACACCAAATTAACTTATGAAAGTATATGGATTTATTAAAAAAGAAAGGATGTTTTTCCATTTGAAATACACAAAATTACAATTGGCATTTACTATGGCTTATTAAACATTATCATCCATGATATTATCCAGTACACCTTCAAAATATGAACAGACTAAAAATAGAGAACAAAAGGGACGTGTGTTCGTTCTAAAACTAAATTTCAAAAAATTATGTTTGGCATATACATGTAGTGTGGCTTATGAAACATCATCTCTGAGATTATCCAGTATACCATGTGAGGAGTATTTTGATAGTTAAAAAAAAAGGAAATGATGTCTTTCTATAATATGCAAAATGATGTTTTGCATATAAACTGTGGCTTATCAAACATTATCATCCATGAGATTATCCAGTATACAAACAGAGTTAAAGTGTTTCTGATAGTTCAAAAGAAAGAAAAGAAATTGATGTCTTTCCATTCTAACTCAAAATGATGGTAAGCATACATGTAAATATTAAACATCATCCCTGAGATTAGTCACAAACGATGCAATGCTTGCTTAAAATGTATGTTATGTTTGCAATAAACATTGCGTTCCTGCCAAAGTAATAACGAGACAACTGTCTCATACTTATTAAACATTTACATAACACTTAAAAATGAAAATTGAATACTTTTTGCTGGTCCATTTTTGGCCTGAACTAGTCAGCTGCTCTAGTGCTTAATACCAGTTTAAACAAATACATGTAAATACAAAATAACCACGAAACATATCTTACAACACACACTGCATATAAGAAAATGTAAGAAGACTGACTTTCTTTTTTAGCATCAATGTAGACGTATATTGAATTACTGATGACAGTGAACACAAATTCCATGATACCAAACTATAAATGGTTTTAAACATTGTTTCTTTTACTGCATGTTTTTTTTTAACAAGCACGTGTATTTGACTAGATGTATGATGTACGTACAAAGGGAAAAAGAAATATATTTATGTTCAATTTTCATCAAAGAAAAAGTCAGTTCTGTACGTCGATACGTCAATTAAATTACGTGTCAGTCTCTACATAAAACTATAAACTAACTGTTTACCCATAACTCATAAGAAATGGAACATTCCCATTTGTTTTTTAAAAAATGGTTAAGTGTAACATTCAGATAACTCAATCAGATGTTCACAAAAGAAATGGCAATTCCTGTTTCTCCATGCATCAATGTTTATATATTATACAAAAACTGTTCTTAGTTTCCTACTTTGACCATATACATGTAAGTGTCATTAAATAAATAAAAAATTATTCCTGGTAAAATTTGGAAGAAGTGTAGACAGTATTTTAGGCGAGCCCTCAAATTAGAATCCCTCCCCGGACCGTTCGGGGTTGAGCCCGCCCAGTATGTTGAAGGGATTGGGACCTTGCATGGAACCGATCGGCCTGGATTAACTCCACCAGGCTTCTGCACCATGGCTCTGGCTTATCACAAAGGAACCAATTTGCGACGCGCTAATCCTCCAGTAGGCAACAGTGACTGTGATGAGCTTCATAGAAGTTGCCGCTGGTAATCCCAGTGGGCTGAATAATCCTCCAACAATGGCCAGACTTCAATTTATGTTGCCTATTGTGAAACCCTGAGTCACCAGTTTGGACCGATTGGGGCGTCACGCTTCAGTGACCGGTAGGCTTCTGGCTTCGTACCGATTGGGGTGAAAGAAATTAGCATACCGGACCCGGTACCCGAACGGTCTGTTATCTGATGGCTCGCCTTAAGACTCCCCTCTCAAAAATGGCAAGTTCTGGACTGATAGTTATCTAAATACCCCACATTAACTGTTGATGAGCTGCACCTGAGTCGACATCCATTGTAACTCTGTTTTGTATATCTTCCATGGAAATTCACATTCCACAAATAGTAGAAATGATCCAGGAGTATGTATGCATACCACATGTAAGTGTATCAAGTACATGTAGACATGTATACAAGATATGTGTACGTTTTAAAAGCACAATTATGGATACACAACAGTTGTGATTTATTCCTACACGAATGAAATAACTGAGTATGGTGCAAAATATCTGGCAAGATACGAGCATGCACATAATACACCCGGCAAAGTTCGGCTTCTTGATTTTCTGCAGCTACACTGTATATTCTTTTGGTTGATAAAACTATATTTTATAATACATTTGTGTTTGCTATCTATATATAGAATGTG